CAAAAACAAAAACAAAAAAAAGTGGCGGGGCCAAAGTTTTGTTGCAAAAAAAAAAAAAAAAAAAAAAAACATCTTCCGTTGCAGCTTTACAGGTCCCAGTAGTTTCAGAGGTCCCACTTTCGCTGCAAAATTGCAAAAATACATCTTTCGGACGCCGGCACATTTCCCCTGGGAAACTTCCAAAATGTGTTATTTTCGCAATTAGCCCTTCGTAAAATATAGCCGCTCCGAGCTCACAGGTCGATTGCAAGGCAAGTGATGCAAGCAAAATGATTTTGTAGCCCTTCTGAAAAGAAGGGCTATCGTCAGCGCTTCCGACCGAACTACCGTCGTCACCCGAATAAAACGCCGGGTCATTATAGCTGCATTTGGCCCAACTTTCAGACCAGATGCAGCGATAATGACCGGGCGTTCTATTCGAGTGAAGACGGTAGTCTACATCCGCCGACCAGCAACCAATTTACCTGCGTAGGCCAATTCTTCAGAATAGAAGGACCGGTCTTTACAGTTGTTATGTGGTGGTATTTTCAGCCTAAATAAAGCCCTAACGACCGGTCGTTCTATTCGGTAAGACGACGGTCGCGACCTTCACAACGATTCCTCACGCAGAGAGTTTAACTCCAATAGATATCTCTTTTTTTTTTTTTTTTTTTTTTTTTTTTTTTTTTTTTTTTTTTTTTTTTTTTTTTTTTTTTTTTTTATATATCTCTTTTTATCCATTTTTTTTAAAATATTTATTTTTAAGATATCTCTTTATATACTAATTAAGAGGTTAGGTTCGACAAACCGGACCGAAGCAATCATAATCAAATAGATATTCCAGGTTGTCTTCTTCTTCTTCTTCTTCTTTTCTTTTTTTTTTTTCCTTTTTTTTTTTTTAATTTTATCTGCCTTCATCTCGTGCAAAACTCACTAGCACAAAAAGTTGAGTCCTTCTCAGTGCCTCACAGCAAGATTAAGTATTCACGTACGGAGCAAAAAAAAAAAAAAAAAGGGAAACATCAAAGTCCGTATGCAGCTCGAAAAAAATCAGATTACTTACTTTTTGCATAGATGGACGGTTCACAATTCCAAAAAAAATAAAAAAAGAAGAATATCCCACAACGTTCTCAACTACTTAAAAAATAAACAAACAAATAAACAAACAAATAAACAAACAAATATAAAAATAAACAGACAAATAAAAAAATAAACAACTAAACAAATCAATAAACAAACAAAAACACTTCAGCAGATTCCAGGTTGGGCTTAAAGAATTAGCCCACAAGAACCTCCGAAAAATACAGATTTCCTCCATCCCAGAGGAAGCAATCCCGGTCTGCTCGCTCTTTGCAGACGATCTCACCATAATGGCAGATGCAACACACGAAAACATGCGAGAACTCCAAACGCTAATGGACCGCTTCTGTCTTCTATCAGACATGACCGTCAATTGGGGCAATAAGACACAGGGATGGTGGGTACATTACCAGGGGGGGAGACCGCCAGAAAATCCTAGGGTCAGATGGTTGCCTATAGAGGCCCCTATTAGAGTTCTGGGGGGTTAAATGACAGCAGAGGGGAGGCCACCCTTGAATGACGAGTGGCTTACTAAACCGGTACTAGAAAAATTGAATCAGTGGAAAGACAAACAGACTTCCTTAATAGGCCGCTCCTTAGTGATTAATAATGTGGTTCTAGCAGTCCTCTGGTACAAAACAACGATCTGGACCCTCAGTAAATCGGCAGCCGCCGCTCTCCAGAGACAGGTGGCTGCCTTTTTATGGAGAGGCAACCACGAGTGCTCGAGAGTCATTAGCAGAGTAGCCTGGAGGTCAGTTATACAACCCAAAGATAGAGGGGGATTAGGGATCATTGATCCAGCTACCCAGGTAATGGCCTTAGCTCTCCAATGGCTAAAAGGCCTATTGTTCTCTACACAGGCGCCATGGATACCCCTTGCACTGCAGCAAATCGCCCGGCTGGCACCGTTAGCCCCCGCCGGGGTGGAGGCTGAGACATGGTTGGAGGACAGATTCTGGACCATTCCTAGGAAACCGACAAAGATAAGCAATAAAGAGGAATCAGACAGACAAGCAACAAGACAAGACCTGAAAAATGACCCTCTTTGGCCCACCATTCTAATAACATGGCGTAAACTGCCTTTCCCAGACAAGATCCCGCCTAAACGCTGGGAGGAAGTGGCCCGACAACCCTTGTTTGGAAACCGATGGATAACGGATTAGTCTAGCCGAGTTCTCCACAGCAGCGAGGCCCCCTGGAAGGGGTCCTGAGAGTTAAAGATATATGGGATCAAGACATCAAAGACTGGCTGTCGGAAGTCCGTCTGAGGGAGAAGCTAAGGTACTGCCACAAGGTTGGAGAGGCTTTGGATACGGTGGTCTTCGCTATCCCCCTAGATTGGGTCCGGATTCTTCGAAGAGGACCATCGCTGGAGGAAGGGGATTGGGTGGGCTTTAGGGAGACAGAAGGGGTAATTGGGAACGTAGTATATACCCGTTCTGCGAGAGGGGTGTGGGAACAGGAAGTGGTGGCCAACCTCTTCAGAATAAAGGAAGATAACAGTTTGGAACGKGTACGACCAGACGTAACAGAATGGTTCCCAGAGCCAGAGGTATTCCGGATCAGGGTACTTAAGGAAAAAGACGGGTGGAAGGCTTACAAACCAAACAAGCCAATTCAGGATCTCCCCCTGGACCCAAATGAGTGGGTATGGACAATACAATATGGAAGAGGAAGATCTGGGGTAAGGCGGCTGCACACCCTTTCGGTTAAAACTACATACAGGATGCTGAGACCAAGAGTTAACCTGAAGGATGTGGTGGAGGCGCGCTGGATGAAACATCTGAACATAGGGAGAGATACCTTGAGGACGGTTAAATGGTTTAAAGCCAATAAGGCTATGCCTGCTAAACTCGCCTCTCTTCAATGGCAGGTAGACCACAGGTGCCTGCCAACAAATGACTGGTTAATAGACAGAACACAACTGGAACAAAAAGGATTGGCGCTCCCCTGGTGTAGGCTGTGTATAGAATCCTTCCCATCTAGGAAATGGCCTGAGACCATTTAGCATATATTCTTACAATGTCCGGCAGCAAAATGGTTGTGGAGATGGTGGGACCGTCTCTGGACACGAATGGGCACCTCACAGCCCTGGCCATGGGACTGGCGAGCACTCCTCTGTGAAGCATGGACCCCACCAGAGGCTACCACCTTTGAAGAGAACATGTTTAAAGTGGGACGCCGAGCCATTCTCTGGGCCATCTGGTGGCGCCGGTGCACACTGGAAATGGAAGGAGTGCTACGTGATGGCACGAAGTTCATCAACTCAATAAAGGAGCAAATTCAGGAAAACATTACCATTCAATGGGAAAAAATTAAACAGAAGATAGCATTCTTCACTCAAGACAGGAAATCAAACAAACCATTGAAGGATTCAGCAAGGACTGGCTGGGTAGGGAAGAAGGGGGATGGATTGCAAAGGTAGAGTGGAGTGGAAGGGAGAAGGGGGGGGCGAGATAGGAGACGRGGAAAGGGACTACCATTTGAGCTTCAGGGACTGGAAGAAGATCGAACCCGCATTCCCAATCAGGCCCCTTGGAGACTTTGTTGATTTTTTTCCCCCCTCACCGCAGGCTGTAGTAGGCATGGATTGGTATGGGGGGGGGGGGAGGGTGAAATGATCAGATAGGGACTGGGGATTGGTAGGAGAGTGGTGGAGCTAGGACACAACAGTAGGTATCTGGCACCCGGGTCGGGATGAAGAGGCTCCCCTCTCTCTCATCTTCCCTTATCTACCCACAACCCATAAAACCCGAACTGTTCTCAACTGCATAAACTGTTCTGATGTTGCATAAGGAAGGCTGGACCCGTTTTCCAGAAGGTGATGCTCCCCACCAATAGATGGAGCCCATCCCAAGGTGCTAGTGGTGTCTGCTCTTATCAGCACCACTAACACGGAGGGAGAGTTAAAAAAAAAAGCCTTCTTATGAGAAAAAAAAAAAAAAAAAACCCTCCACGAAGCTATGCAGTATGTAACCGGCGGCGTTCACTAAAGAGTCGACCGCCACCAGGGGCAAAGTCCCAGTGGCATCATYGAGTTTCCTCAACGCCYGAATCTGGACGTGATTGTGGAGATGTGCAGATATCGCCATGAGTATCCTCAACCGCACATAGCCCCAAACACGTCCAKATTCRGGCGTTGAAGAAACTSAACGAGTGCTAGTGGGACTTGGCCCCAGGACTTTCAAATCCGTTTCCAATCGGAGCTTCTGGAACTGAAAAGCGAAGTTCTTCCCACCCAGATTATTCGCGAGCTGAAAAACAAAAAGCAAAGCATTTTAGCATCTACGGCAACTTCTTCACTAGAAAAAAAAAAGGGAAAAAAAAAAAGACTGCTTCTCGAGATTACTTTCGTATCGACGGGAAGTCCAGACCAAAAAAAAAAAAAAAAAAAAAAAAAACAGAGCGTACAGCAGAACGTTCCCAACAACTTGATTGGATAATCCAAGGTCAGTGCACTTATACATCGGAGCCCGAGCTCAGGAGCTCAAATCCGTCTCAAGTCGAATGTTCTACGAACTCAAAATGGCTTTCGCTGCGTATCGATGGGGGTATTGCCGCCAAGCGATGAAGCTTTGGCAAAATTGGCGGGTAATCGACAATTAAAAATCAATTGGAATTCTAAAATAAAATAAATAATAAAATAAAATAAAATAAATAATAAAATAAAATAAAATAAAATAAAATAAAACAAAATCAAATCAAATGGAAGTCCGAGCTGAGAGAACTATGTGATAAATGAAATGTTCTGGACAGCGTTAAAAGAATGTTAAGTAAATACAGTTATATATAATAACCCGACCTAATTATAGAATCAACCCCCGTCGGGCAAATCGAATCCATCTCGAATGGAATGTTGCTCGAATTCGAAATGGCTTTTGCTGCTCATCGGTGGGGGGTTTGTCGCTGATCGACAACAACTCATTTTTTGGGATACTCACACTAGGACTTCTTTACTTATTTGGGAACGTAATTGCTGTCAGGTACCTCCAAATCGGGCCGTAATTATGGTCAGATACAATTAAGATTGTGCCAGTGTGAGTATGCTCTCATTCTGGATAATCATCGTTGCTGTAATCGGTAATTATAGTACTAGTAGATCGTATTGCCAGTCTGGGAAACGGCGAGACTTTGGGTCTCGCCGCACGGCACACGAAACGAAAACGAAACGAGTGCATCTGCCWAGGAAAGGTGGCAAAATACACTCGTTACTATTTATAGCAAACCGATGAACCTGGCCATTTTCTGCAGGAAGATGCACTCGTTTCGTTTTTCATTTCGTGTCCCGTGCGGCGACGCCCTTTCTCCTCAAAGATTCATGGTTGCCCACTCCTTTTCCCCCGTCAGTTGTGATGGAGTTTTCAGTGGTTAGCGTTGTTGTCGCTGTTGTCGGTGTCACTGTTGCTGTTGTTATTGTCATCATCGTTGTCGATGTGTCACTGTTGCTGTTGTTATTGTCATCATCGTTGTCGATGTGTCATCTTCGCCTCCGTCGATGTTGTCATCTTGGCCACTCCCAACTCCAGCACTTCCATTGGTACTGCCTCTGTTGTTTGTGACGGTATTTCTGCCGTGATTGTTGTTAATCCTTGCGCTGTTGCTGCACTTGTTGGCGGTATCAGCGATGATGTCGCAGTAGTCCCCTTCACCAAAGTACAGCGTGTTGTATTGGGCCCTTCAGTTATCCCTGGTTGATCAGCTGAAACAACCGTACCA